TTTGAATTCATTGTTAAATGTGTTACAGTTTACAAAAATGAATATAGTTGGACAAGTTATGGTGCAGATTTCTTTTTAAATTTGTTTGGCACTCCAGTTAATTTAATGACTGAACACACATTAAAATCTTAAAAACAAGCCCTTGATGTAAATTCATCATTTACAAGAGATTTTTAAAACTTTAAAATTTAAAATATGCTGATATTATCATATGATAGGAATGTCTTTTCTGTGGGTCCAAAGTTTTTTTCTTCTTTCTTAGGGGCAAAAGGGTGATACAGGAGAAAAAGGTGAAAGAGTAAGTGTCTTAATTTAATTTATTTCCTTAACTTCCTTTTAACCTTAACCTTAACATTTGACATCACATTGTGTTACCTCTGGCTTTGAAAACCACCAGAAAAAGAATATGAATAAAGACCAGAATGTATGAAAGTCTTTCAATACTAAAATACTAAAGTATTGTATTACAATATTAAAGTATTGTAATACTGAAGTATAATTCTGAAGTATAATTATAAGATCTCAGTCAGTATAAGAGTGTTTATAAAATGATTGATTAATGTTTTGCAAATATACTTATATTTTAAAGCTCTCACCTACTGTATCAGTGGGTTAAGGCCTGGACAAAATATTCTAACTTGTGCTTTCAAAGAAAATGTGTCACATGTTTTTTGATTTCTTTCTGATGTTTCCAAATAGTTATGAAGTTAGTCATACCTCTCCATGCACATGCCTTTGAAGGGTCACAGATTACTGAAAATGACCATTTAAATGCAGTATTTTGTAAATGTGACATAAGATATAAATGGACATATGGAATCTCACATACAATGTTTAAATACTGTAAGTTTTACAGTAAGCATTTGATCTTTTCTTTTTTGTGTAATTATATTGATGTGCTAATTGACAAACAGTGCCTGAATAATAATCCATTTAACATTTCTCACATGAATAACTGTAATATTTATTTGAATTTTAGTAGAACAATAAAATAAATAATACATATTTTAATTTATATTTTAATACGAGTTTCCAAAAACTACTGTATTGTAAAATGTCCTTTGGTTAAGTTTCGCAGATTAAGTCAGAAGCGTCCGTTGTGTTTGAAGTACAATACAATTGTGTGCGTACTAAGCGAGCTGATGTTGTGTTTCTGTAGGGTGAACATGGTCGAGATGGAGTGGGAATTCCTGGGCCTCCTGGTCCCCCTGGCCCTCCTGGACAAATCATCTATCAAACATCAGACAATGTAAGACAGCAATTTTCCCTTCTTTTTCCATTTACTTCATGACTTCCCTGTTACCTGTCTGGTTACTATTTTCTTTTACCAGATTTTGTGATGTCTTAAGTAATAAAAATTCAATTCATATTGTCTATATAAACGTTTAGCAGACTGTGGTTACACCACTGCCTAGTAGTTGTAATCTCTTTACAGTTTTCTGATTGGTTTTATGAGGTAATGGGTGATGTGCTTCTAATGAAAGTTCTGTTGAGTAAAAATGCCAGTTTTAGTTGAGGGATATTATTCTTTGTATTCTTTAAATTTAGACATTATGGCTTAACAATTATTTTTCACATTTATTTGGATGTACTAAATTACATTCTTTATGTCTGTTGTTTAGTTTTAAGAGTTTAAGAAAGAAAGTTCTCAGGGTAAGTGTGTTTAATAGGCTGATCCATTCGGCATTGTTACTACTGGTTTATCTTTTCTATAGCCAACTAGTAGAGGTTGAAATATAATACTTTACCTGATTTTGTTACTGTGGCTCTTATACGGAATATTAGCTTCAATCTGCTAATAATTCAGATCTTGTAATGCTTAAATGAGTTCCCTCAACAGATACTCTTCAGTATTCTTGTTGGACTATTTTACTATTATTTGTTTTTGTTTTGTAACAAAAAAAAATTATGAAGTACACTTAAATATATTCCTGATTTTTCTGAAGCTCAGTTTTGGATGGATTGGAAGTATGCAAAACACTTTGATTCAAAAGCACATTTTCCTATTATTTCAGGGAGGCCGTGGCGTGCCTGGCCAAGCAGGATTTCCTGTAAGTGTTGGTATTCTATAATGGCATATTTGCTCCATTGATCAAGAAAAATGACATTTTAATCTTTAAATAACAGTGATGGTAACGTCTTTTACCTCCATTAGATACCTTAGTGCCACTTATCTTTTTCCGCTTGAGTCCCAAGACATTAAGGGGCTCATTCATAAACATGTAAGAATCATGTAAACCACATAAGGGGCAGATTATAAAACATCATGTTCACAAAGCAGGAAAAGAAACATCTGTGAGATTTATTGTAATGTGTTAAAATGGGTTTGTGTGCTAAATAACACAGTTTGTGCGCATTTTATGAGACAAAAGCAATAATAGTAGAAATATGCGCATGGTGTTCACCATAATAACTATACAGCTGCCTACGTTGAGTGCATGTTTGTACAGATGGGAAGCAGGAATAATGGGAAGACATTTTTTTATAAAAAGCTGCAATGCACCTTGACTGTTTTACTTGAATGAAGGATATCTTCACGCATAGGAAAGGAGTATTTATCAAAGGAAGAAAGGTAGAGTCAGAAGGACAATAACCAGAATATTTAAACATTTAGAAATATTTTATGCTCTCCAAAAACTGTTGCCTTGTCTCTACACAATGTTATCAATGTTACGTTTTTATTAATGGTGATCAACACAACAGGAGAAAACCAACTTTAAATTTGTTTTGTCATACTGTACAGTATATGAAATAGGTTTTCTTTGCTTTCAGAAGTACG